AATGTGTGTTTATTACCAAGTTGCTTGGCATTAACCAACAACCTGGTGATAGGGCGTAATCTAACCGCGACTTTGACACTGCAAGCTGATATCTTTGTACCGATTTAGATATGTCATTCTCTATTATTGCGGACTCGAAGAGCGTTAGAAATTCCTGCTGCGTCTCTTGCGAGGCACCGCTGGACCCAACGATAGGGCTGCGGGTGTTGACTTGCGCTCCAAGAATGCAGTAGAGAAATGCTTCTATGCTGCGGTTAATACGTGCGAGGTTCTTCAGACCTATACCCTTAGCGGCGAAGAAGGGCGCCCAGGGGTATTTCTGCAGACTTGCTATGAAATAGATTAGATTACCCTTGGACCCATCGCCGCCTAAGTCTGAGAATTCGTAGTCGCTGGGGTATCCCATGCCCGGTGTCTCGATGCTAGCACCTCCTGAGTAGGTGTAAGTTTCTCCTAAACCATTTGCTGCGCCTTCTTTGTTACGGAAGTCGGGGTTAGTAAGATGGAACTCATTCCTTAGACGTTCCCACGCTACTTTGTCGTATTTGTTGTCCTTTGCGTCAAAGATGCTATCACCTGGTAAGGGCGCACCGAGTTCCTTCAATATGCGGCGGATGGTAAAGGCGACGTGGAAACGCAGGAATGGTATATGGAACATATCCACGGCTATACCACATCCTTTAGTAGCAGCCCAGACTCCGAAGTTCAACTGTTGCGACCAATAGCGCATATTGGGGCCTGCTAACCATTCTCTGGATTCTTTCCCTGTTGTATGCTTTATAGCTGTCTCTTTGAAGATATCTCGGACTCTTGTCTTGAATGTCGTAGGACCCACGGGAATACTTAAAGAGGTGACCATCCTCGCAAAGTCATCCGCTCCTCCTTTGTTGTCATAGAAAGGGTAATCCTTGGTGGTTATTATTAGATTTATCGGGAAATTAGACTCGAAATGGACCTTCTTCTTAGCAACAGGCTTGGTGGGCTTCGTAGGACTCAGGTCCTCATTGCTGTACATCCTGGAGCCTTTGTAATAAATACCATCGGGTCTGCGCTCGAACTTGTTGTGGTCTGCGTTAGGAAACATCTTACGGAATGCTCTCCAATTCGCGTAGTCGCGATTGTCATGTGTAGGGGTCTCTTGAATGTCATTCCCAAAAGCGTCGTACATTAGTATATAATGGACGTAATACCATCAGCACCTAAGTTGTATCCTGACGTCGGTTACCATACCACCACCAAAGACACTGGTCCTAATGAATTGAATGCTGACAACTTTCGTTTAAACAAGGCTAACTTAATCCTGGCTTACTTAGAAGGACAAACGAAGCATTATGAAGAAGTCCGCAAGAAGTACGCTCGAGCCCGTAGCACTTTACATAAGAATGCGATAACGTCGGGGTCTATGTCTGTTGCTTTAACAGGTAGCGGCGTTGCTACATCATTAACTGGACCCGGAGTAATCGTAGGCGTTCCTTTAGCCGGCGCTGGAGCTGTCTGCGGTATTATCTCCGCTATTTCTACTGGTATCATGAAACAATTATCTAATAAAATATCGAAGCATGACACGACCATTGCTTTGTCTAGAGCAAAAGCTAACACCATTGCTGACTTGGTATCCAAGGCTTTAAGAGACCGCAAGATAGACGATGTGAAATTCTCATTAATCCTGGCTGAGGAGAAGAAGTACGAGGAATTGAAGTCGGGCAATAAAAAAACAATTATAAGGGATCTCTCCGAGGAATCTCGAAAGAAGATCTACCAAGAAGCAAAGGAAGACCTACAAAGAAGGCTCGCTCAATAAACATTCACTTTGAATTCACCTCAACGTCTGGGTATCCATGCTAACAGTGGATGCTTGGGGTCTATTATTTGGAATATCTCGTAAATTACGTCTGGGTAATATGGAATATCCTTATCAATCCTACAAAACATCCACTCAGCTCTGCTAATGTCGGGAACCTCCGGAATAGGCTTACCGGTAATCTCAGACAAAAGATAGGAAATACCTTTGTAATATTTTCCTAGCTTCAACTTCTTTAATGTCTTCCTTAAGCTTTGTGGGGTTGGCTCTTTTAAGTCAAACGCAATCAATTCCATCAGTTCGTCATCAAGGTACACGGGGCGATGACCCTGAATATAACTCATCCAGTCCCTAAAGTACTTTATCCTTTTATATGTAGTCTTCTTACGACCACCATTTGCGTAATATTGCTCCTTGGTAGCATTAGGCACGGCGTTTGCGATATTCCTACCATATTCATAACACTGTGCTGAAGTGTCTTCTTCTATTCGCATCTTCTTACCACAGCAAATATACTTATTTGGCTTACTTGGAATGAACTTTGGTTTCAAGCACTTTATACAAAAGTCATAGACGAACTCTTTACAATCTTCGCACTCCATATATAGACTAACATATTTAAACACATATCGCTGGGATGCGGGTAATCCTGTACTTAATCGGGTAGTCACTTTACGCGGGTGATCCTCGGTTGGTCACTGTTTTGGAACCCCCATCCCCTATACTACTAGCCTAGCTACAAGAAAATCAAGACAGTAAAACCCCACTCTTTCCTTACAGTCGGATCAATGAGTCACTGAATCTCACAGATAGTCTTTTCATCCAATAGCAGTTGATCTGTGGAAGTCTAGCTACAAGAAAAGCAAGACATGTAAGACCACACTCTTTGCTTACAGTCAGATCAATG